GCGGCCGCGCCCCGCGGAAGCTGGGAGGAACCTGTTGGTAGAGCCTGAAAAATGCCCGTTCAAGCATGATCCAGCCCGGTCTGAGGTCTGGATGGGGAACGGTGGTTCGCTCTCCCGGTGGCGAAACCGGTTGTTGAGTTGAACACGCGGGTTCTTCAGAAATGTCAGGTTCTGAGCAGCGGGGGGGTCCTCAGCTGCTGCGCGCCGAGGCTCTGGACCTGCAACTGCATCCACGGAGGGGGCGAAGCGAGCAGGATGCAGTGCATCCCCGCATTTTAGCATTCCCGGCTTCGTGTTCTGCGCAGAATTTCCAAGTTAACTACGCTCAGGTTTTAGGGGGGTTTGGGGGAGGTTTTTTGGTGGGTTTGGTTTTGTTTTTTCCCCAGGAGTGACTGGCAGCTGGAACTGTTGCCCACACTTCAGTGTTCTTGGAGGGAAAGGACCTGAATACCTTGTTACACTCGTAGAAAGAAAATACTCTTCCCTTAAAACCAACTGGATGCTTTCACATGCTATCCAATGCGGCGGTACTTCCATAGAGGTTAATGGATGTCCGCCTGGCTAAATACCAACAAGCTGAAGCTCAAAGTTGTTCCTGTGCTTTACTGATGTTGGAAATCTGGAGCTGTCATGTTAAATGACAATATTCTCCCTAGATTTTTTTTTCCTCAGAAAATATGTTGCTGTTATGAATGGATTTAAAAACTGCAAGTGTAAGAGGCCTTTCACAGTTATATATGTTTACACACTTAACATCCTCACTAGGTACTGAAGCAGCCTGAAGTGATTATTTTATACGCTACCCAAGAAGCAGATGTGCAGTGGTTTCTGCACATTGCAGGGAAAACGTGCAAATTTTACCGTGTTTCAGCAGAAATCACACAAAGTTAAGTTCCAAAAGGATTTAGTTGCAAGTCTAAAACACACACATTGATTCTGCCTTCTTTTACTGCCAGTGAACTCTGGGTTCGAACAGAGTTTGCACCTTCTTTCCGAAGGCAATATGGTCGATCTATTTGTATTCAGTCTAACTGTGATTAAAAAAATACTTTTAGAGAGTGCAAACGCAAGAGATCCTGTCCATCTGGGTTCTGTTCAAACACTCGATCCCATCCCACGTGTGACAATATTTAGCCGGGAAAAAAAAGCAATTTTCACTTTTAGAAATGCAGCTATAAGGGCATTCAGTGAAGTATATACAACTCTATTCCACCTGCAGCTGTAAAAATAACCAGCAGCCAGGGTTCAGGGCTTATTTTAATTATTTGTCCATGCTTACTGTTCTGCTGATTTCAGTTATGACTACAGTGGGTCGTTAATGATGTTACAGTAGAGGCATAGAGGGTGAACAATTTTATGGCCCAGTCATTAGCTGAGTTGATCAGTTCCAGTTTTCGAGAAGAAAAGGTGACATATTGAATATGCAGTGAATTCTATTTATTTTCTGTGGCTTAAATTGGTTTCCAGTTCTTAATTTATACTTTATTTTAACTGACTGCAGTTCTGAAATTCAGTATATTTTTAAAACATAGCATGGGTAGTGGTTTTGTTGATTAATGGTGTCTTAAATGGGCTTCCTTTTTCCATTATAGCATAATAGGGCTATCTGTATTAACAAAATACGCCTTAGCGAGTTCTTACCTTTCTACAATTGCTGTCTACAATGAATACATTTGAATACAAATTACTCAGTTATTATGCAGAATACATAACTGATATTTTGGTAAGTCGGTCAGATTCAAGCTTATTTAAGTGACATAAAAATTTTTGCTAACGGGGTTAGGTTTATGCAATGGCAAGGAAGCAGTACTGGATGAGGAGGGGCTCCTGTACTGCAGCTGACCATTGCCCCCTTCTGTCGCGGGGCAGGGAACAAGCAGGGCAACGGGACATGCAGAGTGGGGGTGGCTCCTCCCTCTCTCCTTCCCTCCCTCTCCAAGGTCTCTCAGGCAGAGGAGCGCAACTGCCAGGGCCCTGCACACGTGTAAAGGTGAAGGTAGCTGCTTTCCTTACCACTTGTCCTTAGCAAGTGACACCTGACCTTGGCCTTTATCTGCATCTTAGCTCTGCTCATATGATACTATACCAACTTGGATCTTTTTGCAGTTTGAATTCTCTCTCTTCCCCCAGCAGCTCCTCAGTCAGCCTTTTCACATGTAGTTTAATTTTTCTTCTGAAAGCACTTGAGTCTTTTGAGTAGCTGTCTGTGCTTGGATGGTACCATCCCATGAAGGAAGACACTTCTGATGGAAGCAGATCTCAGACTGAGATTTTCCTGCCCCAACTCCGGTCATCTTTAGTTTTTAAAGTATCACCCTGAGACAGAAACTGGGGAGCGCTTTCCAAGCATCACCAGCTGGATGTAAGTTAGATGCACTGATCTTTCCACATGTCTTTTAATCATACAGCTCCTCTGCCAGTGGCAGATCAGGCTGCTTTCAGTTAAGTTGCAGAGGTATGGCACCATCACAAATATGAGTCTCTAGCCCACCTTGAAAATCCATCATAGCATTTTTTTGCTTCACAGAAAGAAAAGAGGGTGGGATGCACTACACAGGGAAAATGTCCAATGATCCGCATTACATTGGCCTAAAACAAAGATGTACTTTTTACCCAGAGCAATAGAAGCATGTAAGAGCATTTGTAACACATCTCTTTGGCACTTCACGTTGCAAGTAATGTGTGATCGGTCCTCAAACACAATAAAGAAAAATATAACTTCTACTGGAAAGTCAGTGTTACTGGTCTCCAACCATGTATTTTTAAGATGCTGCCAATCTCATAAGACCAGCATATGCCAAAGTCATAAAAAAAGGGGATATAATCACAGTGAATATGCCTCCTGTGTGGTATATACAACAACGCACTATAAAGAAATTTACTGAAAACTACTGAAGTATCAAAGATTTTAAGTGAAGGCCGAATTTCCTTAGCCCAATTCTGAAACATTTCTGTCTATACCAGGCCTTCTTACTAACACATCCATTGGCATTCTGCTCAGACACAAAGGCTCTGCCTGCCACGTGGGACCTTCCTTTCCAGCAGCAGGACTGAACAAGGTCATCTGATCTGTAGCCTCTGGAAAACATTTTTTGTTTGTTTGTTTTCAGCACTTAAGGAGCACTTCCATCAAGAGCTAGGATGGATCAGGTGAGGAAGATGGAAGCTCAGCCTTATGTCTGCTTTAAAAATAGTGGCAAGCGTTAGGTTTCGGATCGAAGGTCGGAATGCAGGGCATTAAAATGTAAACGTCTTAGTACAAAAAGAGAAAAGAATGTACATTTTTGTAAGACAAAACCAGTTCAGTATTCTAACTTTTGGATGAGGGTTTATCCCTTTATCAATTCAAACTTTTAGAAGTATATTTTCTGCCTGATTCATTTTATTTGTTTATTTCAATCTGCCTGAAAGCCTGTTACACGGTCAACTTCTGTAGAATAAAACACAACGTCGAACTGAATCTACTAAAATTATACACTCCCCAAAGTAATCCATTGAAAATTACAGTAAAATTATGCATAGAGTAAGCCCTAGAGAAAAATATTTCCTGGTCTGGCGATGCCCTCTCTATCAGTGAGAAAAATGTGAGTGATGAGGCATGCCCTGCAGTTCACAGTTTTGTGCATGGAAAGTCCAAAGCAAGCAGGTAGCTTTAAAACTGGAGAGAGCTGACAGCTTTCTTATAGTTCAAAATCCTCTTTGGCATAGCAACTGCCCGAAAGTTACGCAACATCTGCAATAGGAAGGAAGTCAAGGAAAAGGGAACAGCCATGCCACTATACTTCATTAACTGACATGCATAAGTACATTGCCTTTCTGTGCAGTTTCATTGATTTTCTATTATTTCAGTGTTACTCAGTTGCCCTGTGATATTTCAGAATTATTTTCATCTCATGTCCAAATTACTGCTCTTATTCCCTGTGAGGGCATGTCACAGATTACATTGTTAAAGCAATAGTGTTGCCACAAAAGCCTTTGATAGATCTCTCATCTTATCCTGCAAACCTGTATTAAGCTACCCTCTTGTAGCAATGTGACCGCATTTTCACACCGCTCAGCACAGGTAGCTTAGTTTTGCAGTCCTGGCTTTGCAGTCCCAGCTGAACTCTCTGACAGCTTCAATATATCTGGCTAGATCTGCACTGTATTTTAAAACTCCCCTTGACACTGGGCTTACAGCCAGATTTATTTGCTCTCTACGCTACATACCTGAGATAATGTTCCTTGCACTGGCTCTGTAGTAATTCCGATGAAACTGTTGGGGGGAGGACTTTGCAGGTGTGTACTTTGCACTTCAGACTTGTGCCAATTGCATTGTTGACTTGCCTCAGCACCCCACACTTGGCCCAGCCACTTCCATTTATCTCATCTGCAGGAAGATTGTATTAAGATCACAAAAAATCCTTTCTAAGAGACGTCTACATTTCTGCTGCAATTACCTATAACTGTAATCTGTGTATGGAGCGGTGGAGTCTTTGGGCATTCTGGATGTCAAACTGACCCTGGGATAAGACAACCCAAGCGTTGCCCATATGTGAGCTAATTAGCTTACAACTGTGTTGATGCTGTATGTTTGAATGACAGACAGGTTTTTGCAGCAGTATGGATGAGAAAAGGTGTGACTAGCAAAGAGCCCCTGGAATTTCCTGGAAGAATAAAGCACTCTTCACCTGGTCAGTTTTGCTTCCTTGCAAGGTTTGGAAATAAGATAATATTGATAATGTTTTTAGCTTTAGTTCTAATTTCATCTTCCCATGTTACCCCTTTTATCAACAATTGTCAGAGTAATTTATTTCTTTATTTTTAAGATTGCCCACTACATAATGATACCTCAAAGTAAAAAGCACATTACTGGGATGAATCTCTGTCCACCATCTGATTTTGCAGTTTGATTGGTGTTTAAAAGCTCCACTGTTAATAATCAATTCGATACCATGTCACTTAGGCTGTATTTTGATATCCTAAATTCCTTTCACATATAACAGCAGTTGGAACAGGATAGTAAAATGTGACAATGGTAACCATATAAAATATAAATTGTAAAAAAAAAAAGAAGAGTTTCCTGAATAGTCACATAGAGTCATAAAATCATAGAATCATTAAGGTTGGAAAAGACCTCCAAGATAGTCAAGTCCAACCATCAACAACACCATGCCCACTAAACCATGTCCTGAAGTGCCATGTCCACATGTTTTTTGAACATCTCCAGGCATGGTGACTCCACCAACCCACTGGGCAGCCTGTTCCAATGCTAGACCACTCTTTCAGTAAAGAAATTTCTC